TTTCATTTTCACTCATTTTTCAGGAAGGCCAGAGAAGAACTGCTGAAAAACAAAGTCCTGGCTCCCTGAAAAAAAGGACACAAGGCCTCATGTTTCCAGAGGCGCAGAGAACGTAACAGCTAGAAGGACAGAGCCCTAGAGGTCGGCTGGCCTAGTTCCTTCATCTAGTAACTCAGACGTCGGGGTTCTCCCCCAGAACTCCAAATCTCCTTTCACGGGAGGTCTAACGTGACTTTTGATAAAGCATGACACTTTTATCTTTCGAGACCAGAATCTGCAGCTTCTTTAGCCCTCCTTGACCCCATGGGGCAGAAGAGTGACCCTGGAGGCCACCAGCAGGTCTGCGCCGGGGTTTTCCCAGCGCGGTAACTGAGAAAGGAAGGACGCACAGTCCAGGGGGAAAAGGGCTTCCAAACCACGTGATAAATCTTGGAATTAAGATTTTAAAATAACAAACCAATACAATGGATTGTTATTTTCTATAGTGGTGATGTGAAGATGTGAAGTAGATTCAGTCAATACAGATTAAAATAATTCCTCTTTATGTTTTACGGAACAGTACAGTTAAGAAAGCCCTTCACGCACATCTGAATGCCAGCCCTGTAAAGCGTTACAGGCATGACTCCAAGCTCCCCAACTCTATCCCATGGAGGCAATGGGCTTCCAGAACCCCTATGTCTTTACACTAATTTGGGGATTAGCTTTGTGCTCGTCGGAGTCTTTTTGATTTCTGATGAACTCTTATTGCCACTTAACATTCTGTATTTTTTCTCTATTCTAAATGGGAAGACGGGGCTCTGTCTGATAGTACTTTGACCATTAAGAAAGCACTAAATAAAGTCGTTAATCAAAGGGTGCTCTTTCAGAAATGTTTCTGAGTAGCTGAAGTGAAGCTTAGCCTGCTCCTGCTCAGAATGATGACTAACCGTGGAATGTTTCATCTGCAAGTTCCCTGCCATCTCCCATCTCAGCAGACAGGACAGGGGGAGGTCAACCACCCAAACCAGGGGGAAACTCAGTTGCATGCCTGGGGATTTCCTGCTCCAGAGCTCAAAGAGAACCTGAGGCCAAGGATCCGCCCCCTCCCCCCCCTCCACCTCCTCAGCCTCAGCTACCAGCATTTCTTCACCACGAACCCCCTCAGCCTGAAGGCTCCCTCCTAGGACAGGCCTACCCCTCACTCCCCTCCCACCTCCACACACCTGATGTCCGATGTTGCCTGTTCCAGAAAGAAAAGCTACAGACTGGGGAAAGGTTATAGTCACCCTGAGACCCCTGATAAGGCACAGCTGCCGGGTCTGGATTTATTTTGAAATACGAGAAGTCATACATGTCTAAAACAAGGACTGGCCAGAGATCACAAAACAAATCCTTTCCATCCCCATCTAAGGGAGCCGAGGAAGCTGAAGCCACTCCCGTCGCCAGTAACCTCCTCTTCTCCTCTCCTCTTCCGGTATTGTCACCACCCTGACCACCGGAAAGCGTTCCTGCTTCCTAGCCTCATGTCTGCGACAGAAAACCTGCTCACCCGGGTTCAATTCTTCGAAACAATGGAAAGATCTCTCAGTCACTCTTACTTTGTTTTGGGCTAGTTCAGAAAGTGGTGCATGAAGCCAAATCGATTCCATGAATTTACCATCTAAAATTTATATACAGTTTTACAGTTCAGAAGGCAATTTAAAATATGTTATCTTATTTGATTTGCTCTTTTCAACAGCCCCTTGACAGAGATGCAATAAATGTTATAATCCTCAAACGACATGCTACGTTTGTGAAAGTGTTTGTGACCTGGAAAGCACTTCATATAAATGAGCTATTGCTTTCCACATGAGGAAACCAGAGGCGCATGTGACTTGCCCAAGGTCACGGGGTGAAGCGGAATGCCAGGACTCAAACCAACAACTCTGGGCTGAAATCTGGCACTTCTCTGTCCGTTTTGGTCCTCACGTGAGCTAACTACGTCTGCACAGAGAAAAGCTGTTTTATAGATGCAAATTCTAACCCATCTGACCATCTCAAAACACTGGCCATAGAGAACTAGGCAAATGATTATAGAAGACTTAGCAAAACTCATTACCATTCCCATAAAAATAATTCAGTATCATTATCTCTGCTGGCAATATTGAACATAGTATTTTTAGAAACTTTGAGAAGAATAGACATTAATGGGCAATTAGGTGTCCGTGGACAAAACCTGAAAGGAACACGAACAGCGATACTTAGCCCATTTTTCAGAACTGATTAACACTAAAAGATAAAGATTAGTCGCAAATACTTCATGTTTCTTTGGACCCAGGAATCACTCCGCCGAGGACCAAATAAATATTCCAAAGCCTTCTTCCTTTTGAGCCACTCTCTCCACAGACATCATCTTCCGACATGCTGCCGACCTCCTGGAAAGTCCACATCACCTAGAGCCTCTCTAATTGACTTTAACTACACTTGAAAGTAACACATGAACGTTGAAAAATCCGAACCGGGAGGATTTATACTTGCTCACATGCTCATTCATTCCAACCCTCTTTTGTCCACTGTGTACAGAGCACCCAGCCTGCAAGGCGCCGGGCCGGGATACAGCCGAGCGGAGCCGAGTGGAGCCGGGCCGGGCTGGGCCGAGCTGAACCAAGCTGAGCAGAGCAGAGCAGAGCAGAGCAGAGCCGAGCAGCCAGTCCAGCCTGCCTACAGCTTACAGGCTAGTGCTGCTGGCATGTGGGCCTCAGGACCCCTGTACTTTCCCTAGTTCCCCAATTAGACTGACGCTCGTTGTGAGCAAGAACTGCATACGTTAACTTTCTAAAACTCACAGCACCTTACACCAGGCTTTCTACACAGCAAATGGATAAACTAAAGGAGAATCCTGACTCCATAAGCCGGGCGTTTCCTTTCTCTCAGTCCATCTAGTGTGGCCTACGACTGTGAATTACTTCAAATCCATAGGGCCTTGAACCCGAGGTGTCAGAAGGTCCAAAGGAAGGAGCCTACAGCTGACGGGGAAGGTCGGGGCACAGAAACCTTGAAGGGGGCCCGTGCCCAGAACGGATCCTCTAATGGGGAAGGGACTGGGGTGTGGGGAGAGGTGAGGAACGCTCTTACTCCGCAAAGCTGCATTATCCCACAGGAGAATTATAGGTGCGGGCCCAAGACTGTTAAAAAGTGCAAGGGACTGCTGAAGACCGTCTTACCTACTACCAAAAAGAGAATGAAACAGCGCCCTCCACATGCCACAGGACCAGCATACACACCTGTTTAGCCAGGTGGGGCCACAGAAAGAGCCCCGGGTTCAGATGCAGGAGACCTGCATCTGGGTCAGGCAAGATGGCACCAGGCAAGCCAGGGGTCCTCTCTGAGCCTCAATTACCCCTTCTGTGGAATGAGAGTCATCATCTCTGCTTTGTCTGCCTCACGGAAATACTGTGAGGCTCAAATGAGATATGCTCTTACGAAAGCACTTAGAGAAACGTGCCGTGCTGCATAAATCCCGAGAAGACAGTGGGGCTACCCACGCTCCCAGAGGGACATATCCCATCAGCCCAGGAGCCCTCACTGTCCCGTTTGCACCCCAACGTCCGGGTTTCCATCTTCTCACATCCCTGAATTCAGAGAAACAGTCCACCATCCAAATCTCAAAAAGGCAAGAAAATGACAACGGAGGGCAGCCCTGTAAGTGTCTTCACCCCCTGCCTTACCATGCTTCAGTTCTCCCTCTACAAGAGTCAAACTACAGAGAAGCCAACAAAAAGCGGAAGGATGGAGGTTTGAACCAGCCACGCACACTTTCTGTTCTTTGTGGCTGTGTGCCTTCCCCTCTCCACTGCCAAGTTGGGACCCTGTGTGGGGACTGCTGGACCGATCTAAGTAGGGCTCTGAGGCCATACAGAGGTCACTGTTTGGGAGAGAGAGATCATATGCACCTTAGGCCACATTCCAGAGCCAAAAGGAAATTATTCTTAGCATGGATTATCAAAGGTTAAGTGCACACGAAGAAAGCAACTACTCCCTTGCAAATAGTCCTCCTTATCTCGCCAATAATATACTTCCAGGTCCAGTCCTTTCATTTGCTTGTTCAGTCCTCCGTGCAGCCAGCATGTGCGTGCAGCACCCACCAAATGACTCCCCTCCCGATTCTCAAGGAGAAAGGAGGGGGCAGAGGGAAAAGCAGACACCTTACAAAGTTGTAAACCATAGTGTTACCAGTGATGAGGCTGGACAGACTCTGCGGTGGAGGGAGGGGCGGGCTCTAAGGGCCAGTGCATCAGCCCATCAGGCCGCAGAGCCCAAAACAACTCCTTCCGGCTCTAGGCAGAGGGAGGGTCCATTTTGCAGAGTCAAGCTTATTAGAAACGCCTTGGAAGATTAAACCTGCAGCATTAGCCGGCTGGCAGGTCTCAAGTTAAAATCTAACCTTCGAGAGGAAACAATTCTAAAGTGACCTATGCATTTGGGGGCCATTATTAGCCACTGGTAAAAATCCAGCCGTGTGGGGGTGCAAAGGGTGTTTCTGTCCCATCCTTCGGGCCACGACCATCATCCTCACTCCAGACCCACCCCACCACCACCATCCCGGTGGAGGCCCCTGCCAGGGCCCTTAGCCCAGCAGCTCCAACACCTAAAGCCAGTCCCAACCCACCCCTGTGGACTCAGGCTTGTGCCCACCTCCCACTCACTAGACTGGCAAGTTGGGGACTCAAATTTAGCTTCCAGCCTGGCAAAAGTCAAAGGCGGCTGCAGGCACTTAACCCCCTTCCCCCACTCCTGGCTTCACTGTCTATTGCTTCTACTGAAGAAAAAAACCACTGACTCAGATGTTTTGAACATGGACATACACAGGGAAGATAAACACACATGCCCGACAGTCCCCACAGACCAATGCATGCTCCTACCCCCCAATTCCCACGGCCCACCCAGACCCTTCTTTTGCAACCTTTTATCAAAATGCAACACCCTCCCTCCCAGGTCCTTCCTTAAGTAAGTATTGAAAAACCCATTATTAGCAAACCTACCTGTCTATACTCTGCGGTAACCTTACACTCATGGTTTCTCGGTGTCTCCACGGTTTCAGAGTCCTGTAGTTTTGACGTCTTGATCAGGATTGAATCCTTGCAATTTTTAAGAAAGGTGAGAGGAGGGCTCCCCAACTTGGACACTGAATCCTTTCCTCCAGTTCTCAGGATCCTGGTAACTGAAGCTCCATTCTACTTGTACCACTTAACATGGTCTCCTTTCTTAGCCCCCTTTTCCCCTCCCCCCTCTTGAAAAGAAAAACGAAAGAAAAAGGAAAAACGATGACCTTAGAAACCAAAACCCAACCACAAATCTCTTCAAGGTTAGCGCTACGGGCTAAAAAAATGAATCACAGAAAGAGTATGCCTTCAAAATATCAGTCTTACTGCAAAAGACAGATAAAAACCATCCTTTTAGTTCAGTTTTCCCAGCTGTCCTTCTGTTGGCAAGAGAGCCTCAAGCTCCAACGGGGGGAAATTCTCTGGTCTCCAACGCTTAAAACGACAACAGATATATTTGGGGGAACAACAACAAAAAGGACGAATAAATCCGAATTGGCACCTGAAAAAAATCTTCCAGCTGATTTGCACAGTAAAAAAAAAAATAAATAAATTAAACCATACAATAGTATGTACACAACAGCATTACTTCCAAGTCCAGTGCGACCCTGGGAACCAAGATTACGAATTTCCTTTAAAAAAACAAAAAAGCTTTCGCATGAAAGGTTTTGAGATTCTTAAATGAGCCAATCGCACCAAAAAAAAAAAACAAAAAAAAAAAACAAAAAAAATCAGAGCACACCTGAAATGAATGCTTTCTACCTTTAAAATGGTAGCAACCACCACAAAGCAGAGAGACCCGCTGGAAACCTCGTCCCCTTCCCCTTCCTGCAGGCGCGCCGGCTCCTGCGCCTTGCCGCCCGGGGCTCAGGCCCAGCCCGGGTTCGGCCTGCTTCGGGAGGCCGTTTCCTGAGTGGGTTCTGCTCCGCTCGTCCTCATCCAGGCTCCGGGGCCGGCCTCGCCTCCGCCCCCATGAAACGGGTTCCCGGCTCGCGTACCCGTCGCCCGGTCGCCCGGCCTGGCGGCCGCTCCTTGGCCAACAAACCGGCTGGCTCCTGCGGCTTCGGTTCGGCCGGGCTGCTCCTCCGCACCCGCCTCCGGGCAGGTCCGACCGCCGGGCTCCCCGCCTCGGTCCGCCCTGCCTACCCGCGCGGGACGCCGCCGGCCTCGGCTCCGGCCCCGCTCGCCCCGGCCCGACCGCCGCGCTCCGGCCTGGGCGGCCGCGGGGCT